GTAAAGACATGAATACAATACATTCATTTTCATAAAAAAAAATTTTTAGAGCTTTATCTTGAATGTTCTCGCAAAGAAATCAAAAAACACCATATATGCAAATGACTTTGTTGTTGTGTCATGTCTTTACAACTGAACAACGTTATTGGGATTAGCTGGTCACTAACGGACCAGTTTCGCGAATTTGCACAGGACGACGTCTAGAAACTGACTTGGCAAGTGTTTTAACACCTAATAGAGTTAATTATTAACCTTACTGTGAAAAAAATATCAGCTCTAATGCCTGCCAGCAAAAAAAAATATCGAAATTACCAGCCAGGAATCAGTATACGTTAAAAAACGGTTTCCCAGCCAGCATTTACACTAATATTCTATTTTCCCAGCCAGGAATTTAAGGATCATTTCCCAGCCAGGATTCAATTCTAAAATTGTTTTCCACCCATGGAAACCGCTATTTTTGTTTTGTCAGATAGATTGATTGAAATGGGTATCCTATCTTTCATATTCGTTTTAGTTTGGTTTGGCTTTTTAAAATTAAGCGTTTGGAATCCGATTTTGGAAAAGTGATAGTTAAAATACGTGCGAGGCACATCGCGCTGTATGTTTAATAATCTGGATATTATTACACTAGTGCAGAAGTAATCTTAAAGTGATTAAAACCAGAAAACTGCAGGTTACCTATAATAACCAGAAGGTTAACTAATGACAGATACTGGTCATTTAAATAAAATTAAATTTAGGGCTTAGAAAAATTATGAATTATGTGTAAAAATACCTTTAAAGCGCTCGCTAGGAAATTTTCAAAACATTATTGCAGTCTCCAATACATATGTCTTTAAACTATGTTGGAATTAACCGATTTTAACTTCTTGTCTAAAGATATCAACCATAATCACCTATACTGTGAAATTCCTAAGAACGTAGCAAGAGCCTGAAATATTTTGATGTTAAAACATAGTACATTGATTTAAAATAATCTATAATTCAATATTTTTCTTCTCTACATTCATCAAATGTACCCTACGCTCCTGAAATTCCACATATATCATTATAGTAATCGTATCATTTCTAACTTAAAGGTCAATAATTGATAGTAAATGCCAGGTAAAGACACAGTTCATTGATACATTATTGGTGAAATGTCAGTAACCACGATAAACAATTGAAGGCTTGAAGATAACAGAGGACATAGAAGCATGGAGTAATAAAATGCCAGGTAAAGGCACAGTTCATTGATACATTATTGGTGGAATGTCAGCAATCTCGATGGACAATTGAAGGCTTGAAGATTAAAAAGGCAAGGAAGCGTGGAGTAATAAAATGCCAGGTAAAGGC